TTTTGTTTTTGACAAAAAAAATGAACAAGAAGGAAATATGCTCGCGAAATTACTGCGGTGTGCAATTTACGAACGACGTATACGTACACATATGCGAAGTATATATTGGTAAACTCGATAAAATCACTGAAAGACAAGAGGACGGCAGAACGACACGGCGGATCCATTCGTTAATCCGACCACGATAAAAGCACTCTGACCCGTTTTTATCTCGCGACGACGACGGCAGTGATATGAGAGGAGAGTGAGAGATCCTAATCCTTGCATAACACACGAAGTCCGTACGCCTGAGCTATCCCCGACGAAGGTTGATGTAACGAAAAAAAAAAAAAAAGGTGCATAAAACAGCCGCTATCGGGGGGGCATTAGGACCAGGTCGTAAAAGACCTTAATAGCGCGAGGAGAAAAAAAAAACTATATATAAAGCGACGTTAAACGATCGAGCTCGAAAATTGCGCCGTGTCGCGCCTCGTTCATCACACGTCTTACAGTCTCGTGGACCGAGGGTGTTAAAAAGAAAAGCTCTTTATTTTTGTTCCCGTCCGGTATAATATAAGGACCAATTTTCTGTGAATATTCGCTAAAAACATTTTGTTTTCGCGAAACTAACAAAACCAGAGATTTTTCAAGAGAGCGACATCATCGGAGGACAAATGTTCAACGTGGGACAAAATGGGGGCTTGTTAAACGACGCGACGCAAACTACAGCGCCTCGGTCGTCAAAGCCAGATGACGAAACCGGGAGAAACGACGCGACGTCTCGTGTACAATGCGACACACAAGAGAGATACACTTAAATTTGTCCGTTTAAAGCCGCGACTATATTTTCTTTTCCACATCGTCGTTGTCGCAAATAGCGCGCAGTTCTCGAGTTAATTCACGACTTTCCATTCCGAATGCTTCGCGTTGGGGGTTTTTCCCCGCGACCCGAGATAAAACGCGACCGACTTGTCTTCGCTCGTCAACGATTTTACTTTGTAATAACGTTAGTCCTCCGCAGCCGCATAATTAACCTCTGCCATCTTTTTCTTCCTCCTAGTTTGTTCGACGACATCATCTTCGTGTCATCGAGGTCGTTCGGCGAGTTGTGACGCAACGATGTGACAATGCAATTTTTCATTTCTCAAGCTGCTGCCACTACAATCGATTTTCCATTTGAAAGAAGAGAAAAAGGAAATCATGTAATCTTGTTTACATGATTGCGCGCCAAAGTTGCAACATCGAAATATGATTTTCAAAAGAGAAATCCAGAATTTGACCCACTCGCGTGAGAAGCACTTAGCGCTAATACTTGGAAAATTTATCGTAAGCGCGACCGATTTCGCAGTCCGGTCTGGTTCTCTTGCATGATCACGTTTAATTCCCGAAGATCTTGACGAGAAGAAAGAGGGGAAGAGGAGAGGAAAGATGTGAATATATACTCGAGAAGAAGTCGTCCTGTCCTCGACAATTGCAATATCGATATTTGTTAATCCGTTGCTTCGTTTCTTGGCACTGGATCAAGCATTGGATTACGTCGGTCAACAAGGGGATTTCGCGGTCCCTAGGGAAATTCTTACGGGAGGGAGAAATATTCCCATCGGGAGCGGAATAAATGCAAGAACGTCGAGAGAGAAGGAGCGAAAAAGACGCGCGCGCGCGAGCTTTCGGCCACGAAAGCACTCTGGGGGGAGCTTTTCCTGCTCAACATCGAGGGGAAAAAGGATAGGCTGGGTCAAGGCGGCCTTCTCGTTCGCAATCGCGATTATCGAACCGTCTCTATCTTCTCTCTCTTTCTCTCTTTCGATATATCGAGGGAATATACAGGAAGACTCACGCTTGTCGTTGTCGCCTTGAATATCCGTTCGTTATATCCGACACATCGACAGGACGTTTTTAGTCGATACGCGAAGGTCGCGAGGTTGGAAGGTCGGGAATATCTCGTTTAAGAGAGAAAAAAAAATACACTCAAATGTCAAATGAGAATCGACCGAACGAAAGTGGCAGTGAAAACGTTTCTAAAATTAGAGATGTGTTGTGTGGTTATTTTTATATACGAAACTATAAAAACAAATTACATATAAACACAAGTTACATAAATTACTTTGCGATTGTCACATTCGGCAAAACTAATTTTTTTCTGAAGAACATTACACACATACGCGCGCGATCCGTGCGCGCAAATTTTTAGAAATACATGAGAGAATCGACGATGTCGGTTATTTTGTGCTAGCGGTTCCTACGGGAACCCGACCGAAATATACGTACGTTTTTTACGCGCCAATTTCGCGAAAATAAAATATTCAAGTATTCTTAATATTTTCACACTCTCTATGTGTTATTTTTATATTCTGCATTTTCCCGTGTGCATTTCCGCTGTTACACTTAGATTATGCGGCGCTTGATGATTGTATTGCGACAACGGTATCGCGTCTCTTCAATTCGTCGTTTCGAGTTTTAAATTAGAATTATAGCGCTGACGTTATATTTCTTTCTTTCTCTCTCTCTCTCTCTATCCGTCTCTTTTTCTCACTAGAGATGTTTTTCACCCAACTTTTAACTACCTTTCGATCTTTGTTTGCTCGGAAAGGTTATTCTCCGCAGTGCGGATGAAAATCGGTTGGGTTGGCGAATTCCAAGAGAGAGAAGAGTGTCTATTCTTGTTGCTTTCAAGAGCACGCGAGAATCGTTTTCGAATTCCGCGTGCGGAGCGTTCATAACTTTCGAAATTGTTGCGGGTGAGAACGCGGGACGAATTTTAATAAAACTGAATCGGACGCGCGGAATTGCTTCTCTCTCTCTCTCTTCTTCTGCTTTACACATACGTTTCGTTTGCCGAAGTGTACTCCATAAATCAAACCGCGCGCGATTATACTCGACACTGTATGAAAGTAGTGGTCTATTGATCACCGAATATCTAACGTCTGATATTCCGTTTATCTCCCTCCCTTTCTCTCCATATTATTTTTACTTTTGTTATTTTTCATTTTATTTTATATTTTTGTTATTCGATGCGCTTGAGAGGGTGTTCCAACGCGCGATATAGATAAAAAACATTCTAATTTAATCTAATTTATATATATATACATATTACATTTATCATATTAGACTCATTATTGTCGCATCATCATCACGTGTCATTTTCCCCGTTGAATCAAACCGCTCTTACATTGCGTTCTTTTTCCGTCGCCGCGCGGAAAGAGGAAAAGGACTTCTCGTTTGTCAATCCTATTTCTGATAAATATTTTCCGAGTCCTTGAACCTGTTGGCTCTCACGAGCGCGTGCCGAGGATCCATCATTCAAATCCACATGGTGTGGCTCATCATGCGACACGGGAAAAAGAGTTGTTATTCGTGACGGCGTGAACACACCCAACAGAATTGATTCCATCTCTCTCCGCGCGATGGAAAACCGCGTCGGATAGGACGTGAAAGGATAACGAAGCGCGTGTAGTTCGAGAGAAAGCAAAAGAGAATCGATCTAAATCCTGTGAAAATTTGTTATTGAAGTAGCGACGAATGCTGGCTGAGTTTATATCGCGAAGGTCTCCACATCACCTTACGTCGCGCATATGTCTCGAGCGCGTAAACTTTCTTCAGAGTTAAAAGGAGCGGAGAAAGAGATAAAGAGAAACATTGTTGGCGGATTTTCTTGTGGATATTTTTTTGCGATCCCCAAATATACGAGATGTGTCGAAACTTATGATACCCGCGAAAAAGAAGACGATTTTCCACAATGTGGGGCGAAAATATAGGAGTAAAATTTGTTCTCGCGCGAGACTTTGTTTTCCGAAGAATCAAAAGCGGAATATTTTAGTCAGAACGATATTATTCCTCGTCTTGAGTAAATACAGAAGTTATTTTAGGGATGAAGCGAATGTGCAATGTGTTGCAGAATCTGAGAGGGAAGAGAGCGAGAGAAATCAAGTGGGAAGTTTTTCTCACTCCGAGCCCTCTCGCAGTTGCTTTTTTCGGTACAAATCGATGCAATATTAACGCGACTACAACGGTCTGCACTTTTCACGCGGTTTTAAGAGCTTTTGTTCGATTACGAATTAACCGCGGAGCATTCCCTCCCTGGTAATAAATATTCAGCGAAATGTCTCCGATCTTCTTGTCTTTTCTCGAACTCGATTGCGCACTTTTATCATTTTTAACAGCGAACGCTTGTAAATTATTCAAAGTGCTTCAAAGAACACGAAAAGTAATGTGTATAATAACTCGCATACTGTTGTTAAATGTACAAATATTGTTCAATAATTGTTGTTTTTTATTTTATTTTTTTTTTTATTTTTTATATATTGGATCGCGTTTCTTTTTCGTTTCAAACTTGTTCAAAGTTGTTTACCGATAACGACGACAAAAATTCACAAAATATAGATTTACGATAATTAAGAACTCGAGATCAACTTTACTCGTAGAAGTGGCTCTTCGACTTAACTTCGTTACAAGTTTTTCAAAGAATAATTATGCCCGCAGTATTTTGCGAACAGGTAAACCGAGGAGAGTTTCCAAGATCGCGTCACACGCGCGCGCGCTCCCGCTATTTAACTTTTGAATTGCCAGAGAAATTATTCTCGCACGCGAGCAATCCGCAAAGGTGAATTTACGAGACTCTCGAGAAAAGTTTGATCGGCCTGTGTGTTAGGGGATTATGTGCAAATTAATTGAACGCTCGATGCCGGCTGTAGATCGAGGCGCGCTATCGCTCGGAAAAAAAACCTTGCATTAATCGCCTTTCCCGGCCTGTGTACACACGCACATGTGGTTAAGCACGAAGGAACTTGTTACGTACAGTTATTTTTCCAGTGCCTGTGAACCAATTCGATTATTACTCGTGCTCGGTTTCATTCGAGTTACGTACGTAACTAAACTTTCAAAAAAAAAAAAAAAAAAAAAACCGCGTACCTCGCAATTACGATTTTTGTTTTTCTTTTTTAGTTCTACAATGATAGAACTTTTTTTTTTTAATTTAAATTCCGTCGCGAAAAAAAACCCGCCACAAGAGATGTGTATCTCACCTTGGTATAAACGCCGGCGCTGGACAGTTCGTTTTCGATGACCATGATGATGATGCCGAACATGCCCATCACGAGGGCGTAGTCGCTGATGCGCTTGCGCTTCTCGAACAGGGCCTTCCGCCTGCCCAGCCGGTAGCCGACGTTCGGCTTGTGCTTGGACCCGATGCTGCCGCCGCGCTTCAGGGAACCGCCGCCGCCGGCCACCATGCGCTCGTCCATGTAACGGGGATACTCGGTGTGGACGCCCACGAGGGCGATGCCGGCGTCATCGCC